AAATTCTGCTATTAGAGCCTCGCATTGATCGAAGCTAGCCGTCGCTTGAGATCATTCACCGTCGCCGAAAATCTCGCCGGAATCAAGAAGTCACCGACAAAGCATCTTCGCTGGTAGTACATCTGACTCCGTCTCACCATTGAAGGACTTGAGAGAAAGGTTACTGCTACAGAAGGTCTAGATCTACTCCGGCGATTATTCGAAACCCTAGATCTAGGGTTTGAAGAGAGATAGAGAGTGGGTGCTTGGCACATTGAGTTTGGAGGATTTTTTTTGGGCTAAAAATCACAAAAATATAAAATAAGTTAAAATAGTTAATAAAATAAAATATCACATTAAATTTATAATTATTTTATTTTTTCTCTTATAAATATTACATTTAATTACAAAAAATTCAATTATCTTCTTAAATATAAAAATTTTAATCAACTAAAATAGTTAAAAATTAGGATAAATTACACTGATACTCCTTAAGATTTATATTTATTATAATTTTCCTCTCATCTTTTAGAAATTACATCTCCCCTCTTGAGGTTTAATGTTTCATTACAGATTTCCCTTCAGCAATTTAATTTTTGGATAAATTACACTGACACCTCCTGAGGTTTATGTTTATTACAGTTTCTCCCTCACCTTTTGAAAATTATATCTCCCCTAAGATTTAAAGTTTCATTACAGATTCTCTTCAACAATTTAATTTTTTTTAATATCAATTTTGTTCTCACTAGGTAAATTACATTGATACCCCTCACATTTTAGAAATTACAATTCTTCCTAAGATAGCATTACCAATTGACCCCTCGGTTAGTATTAGTTGGGAAAAAAATCATTGAAAAAAAATTAATTGAAAAAAAAATTTGTTAGTAAATTTTTTAAATTTATGTTTAAAAACTAACGTAAACTCATTTTTTGAATTTACATTTTTTCCTCAAATTTACAAACTGAGGCAACTATTTATAAACCAAAAAAATTATCAAACAAGTTTTTATGACAGTTTTTTAAATTTTTTTAAGTATAAATTGAAAATTAAAAACTGAAAACAAAATAGTTACCAAACAGGTTTCGGATGGTAAAAATGTCGTAAAATTAACAAATAATTAAATAAGTTACCAACGTAAGAAATGACTTATCAAAAGATTCTTAGGTTATGTATGGTTTGATTTTTAAAATTTTTGTAAAAAAAATTAAAAATTAATTTGGTTAAGAAATAAAAAATAAAAAATAAAAAATAATTATCATTTTTATATAATTTTTATTTTTTGAGTGGTAATAAATAATTTTTTACAAATTAAATTGAAAAAGCCATACTTATATATATAACATACCCAAAATTTAAAATGGCAATTATTTTTTACCCTTAAATAATAATTATTTTTTATTTTTTATTTGTTAACCAAATTAATTTTTAATTTTTTTATAAAAATTCTAAAAATCAAATTATACATAATCTAAGAATCTTTTGATAATTTGTTAATTTTACGACATTTTTACCATCTGAGGTTTGTTTGATAATCATTTCATTTTTAGTTTTCAATTTATATTTACAAAAATTTTAAAAACTGTCATAAAAACTTGTTTGATAATTTTTTAATTTGTAAATGGTTGTCTTAGTTTGTAAATTTGAGGAAAAATTATAAATTCAAAAAATGAGTCTACGTTGGTTTTTAAATAAAAACTTAAAAATTTTAGTAACAATTTTTTTTTTTCAATTAATTTGTTTTTCAATGAATTTTTTTTTCCAAGTAATACTAATCGAGGAGGCAATTGATAATGCTACTTTAAACTTTAAGGAGGGGATTGTAATTTTTAAAATGTGGGGGGTGTCAATGTAATTTACTCAATGAGGGCAAAATTGGTATTTAAAAAAATTAAATCGCTGAAAGGAGAATCTGTAATGAAACTTTAAACCTCAGGGGTATCTGTGTAATTTACCCTTAATTTTTTTAAATACCAATTTTGCCTTCATTAGGTAAATTACATTGACACCCCTCACATTTTAAAAATTATAATTCTCTCCCCAAGGTTTAAAGTAACATTACCAATTGTTCCCTCGGTTAGTATTAGTTGGAAAAAAAACTCATTGAAAAAAAAATTATTTAAAAAAAAAACTTAATTGAAAAAAAATTTTGTTAGTGAAATTTTTAAGTTTTTATTTAAAAGCTAACGTAAACTCATTTTTTGAATTTATATTTTTTTCTCAAATTTACAAATTGAGACAACCATTTACAAACCAAAAAAAATTATCAAATAAGTTTTTATGACAGTTTTTAAAATTTTTGTAAATATAAATTAAAAACTGAAAACGAAATGGTTACCAAACAGGCCTCAGATAGTAAAAATGTCGTAAAATTAACAACTTATCAAAAGATTCTTAGGTTATGTATGGTTTGATTTTTAGAAATTTTTTTTAAAAAAATTTAAAATTAATTTGGTTAAGAAATAAAAAATAAAAAAATAATTATAATTTAAGGGTAAAAAATAATTATTATTTTAACTTTTGGGTAGGTTATATACATACGTATGACTGTTTCAATTTAATTTATAAAAAATTATTTCTTACCACTCAAAAGATAAAAATTATATAAAAATGATAATTATTTTTTATTTTTTATTTCTTAACCAAATTAATTTTTAATTTTTAATTTTTTTTTTTTATAAAAATCGAACTATACATAGCATAAGAATCTTTTAATAAGTCATTTTTTACGTTGGTAACTTATTTAATTATTTGTTAATTTTACGGCATTTTTACCATCTGAAGTCTGTTTGGTAACCATTTTGTTTTCAGTTTTCAATTTATATTTACAAAAATTAAAAAATTGTCATAAAAACTTATTTAATAATTTTTTTGATTTATAAATTGTTGTCCCAGTTTATAAATTTGAAAAAAAAAAATGTAAATTCGAAAAATGAGCTTACGTTAGTTTTTAAATAGAAATTTAAAAATTTTACTAACAAAAAATTTTTTCAATTAAATTTTTTTTTTCAAATAAATTTTTTTTCCAATTAATTTTTTTTCCAACTAATACTAACCGAGAGAACAATTGGTAATGTTACTTTAAAACTTAGGGAGGGGATTGTAATTTCTAAAATGTGAGGGTGTCAATGTAATTTACCTAGTGAGGGAAAAATTGGTATTAAAAAAAATTAAATTGCTGAAAGGAGGAATTTATAATGAAACTTTAAGCCTTAGGGGGGAGATGTAATTTCCAAAAGATGAGGGGGGAACTGTAATAAATATAAATCTCAGGGGGTGTCATTGTAATTTATCCTAAAAATTAAACTAAAATAGTCAACTTCTCAAACGATCAGAGTTTGGATCTGTGTGTCGCGTATATGATCTTAGATAGAAGGATATGTTGGTCATTTTATCTAAATTTGTCATTTTGGACAAAATATTTTAAATGCTAGATCTCTTAGCAAGGATCCTGTCCTTGGATCCTCTTCTTGGCTCCCTACTTGGTGGGTCATTGGGCCCATTTTTTGGTCTAATTTCGATAATTTGAACTGTTTACATTTTAAAATTTGTCATGTATATCATAACCGTAAAAAATTAAGTTAATCGAATATTAGAAGAACTAAAAATCGTTTGTTAAAAAAAAAATTAATAAACAGTTTTATTATTTAATAAAACTTTTCAAATCGTTTATTAAAAAAATTTAATAAACAATTTTATTGTTTAATAAAATTTTTGTTCACGCGGTTTTTGATATTCAATCGACTTGATTTTTTACAAGTATAATATACATGACAAATCCTAAACTATGAATGGTTCAAATCATCGAAATTAGGCCAAAAAATAAGCCCAATAGCCCACCAAATAAGGAGCCAAGGAAAGAATCCAAGGAAAGGATCCCTGCTCTAAATCTCTAGCCAAACAAAATTTAAATTTAAATTTATAGATCAAGTTCCCTTTTTAAAAAGGGGGATTTGGTCAAAGCTTCGTAATAGAATTTTATTGCATTAAGGACTTTCCTTACAAAGTTTAACACATACCACTATTTTCAAAATATTAAACTTTAAAATAATATAATTTTTGATCTAGATGTCAGTTTTTAATAAAATTAATATTTTTAGAATTCTCTCATCAAAATCTATCAAGTAATATCCATATTGACTATAAAATTCTTTAAAAAAATAAATAAATATTACCATCAAAATTGATGTAAACAATAACATGTTACTTTGTTTGATAATTATATGTTACTTTGTATCACAGTAACATGTTATTTTGCTAATATTGTCTAAGAAAATATATCTATATATATATATATATATATTATTTTATTCTTACTCAATTATACGCTCCTTCTTTAAGGGATTTATGAAGTAAAATAATTGAACTGTTATTTTCCCCAAATAAAAATCCAATAGAAGGATTTTGACTAAATTATCCATTTAAAAATCAAACCAAACAGTTTTCAGCATTTCGCTGGCTCAGTTCGTGGTACAAAAAGGTTCATATTGCATACCAAAAGGGGTTATAAAATATCAATTTACAATTATTAGTCACAAAATACCAACTAAATACATTGTGCTCTTGAACCAATGACATCAGCAGTTAGGATGAACCGTGGTGGTTGAATGGATAATTTTTTTTAAAATTTGTTTTAATGGAAAACTTTTTCTAAAAGACATTTTCTACATTTCTTGACATTTAATTCAAGAAAAAACAAATCAGACAAAAAATAAAAAATCAGTGGAATTTGTTTTCCCTAATTAATGAAAAATGAGCTTATTTGGACAACATTTTAAACGAAAAATATTCTCCAAACTCAAGTAGTATCAACACCACACCACCACTACTACTGTCATCACCGCCACCACCATAACCACCATCCTATGCTGCCACCATTGCTACTTCCAACACCGTACGACCACCGCCACCGCCACCAACACCGATGCTACCACAACCACTAGCACATTGGTTTCAAAGTCACAACCAAACACAAAAATTTGTAAATATTTTCTGTATGAAAATGTTTTCAGCTGACACAAAGTTGTAAAAGTTCCACTCATGTTCTCTATTCATTGCAGGATATAGAAATTTCAAGAGTGAGTCACAAATATATGATTTACAGCAAATGTTCGACTACAACAAAAATACAAAGCTATGAGTTCCTGTACATAATTTGACATTGGGGATTAATGACAAAACATCCAACCTCTTCATGAGTGACAATGCACTTTCTCGCGTCATTTACAAGAAAATGTCTCTGAAAAAGACTAGATGGTTTACGCAAGGTAGTTGTATATTTGAGGGTTGTTCTTGTCCCGCTCCAGGTACTCCCGGTCAATCAGACTTTCAATCCTTTTCTTCAAGTCAGCCGGCTTTATTGGAAACTTGAGCTGTCATCAAAACAAACACAAATTTCAGCCACCAACATCTTCAGTTCAGTTCATTTCAAACTCACCCTAACATGCGAAGCCTTAGTTCGTATCTGTTATGTGCCTCAGACGTAAAAAATTTCAGTTCCTAGGCACATTTTCCAACGGAAAACCTTTTCTAAGGAAGAAAAAAAAAAAAAAGGGTTTTCCGATGTTTGGTTGCTAGTGGTTGTATTAGTGGTGGAGTCGGTGGTGGAAGTGGTGCTAGCGCTAGTGGAGGTGGTTTCAGCCCAAATAAGCTTATTTTCTATTAATTTCTGGTTTCTGTCACACCAAACACAAAGACAATGCAATTGCACCAAAACAGATGGAGCATTAATGCAATGAAATGACAACCAGACAAAACTGGAAGCTTATAAAACAGATTTGAACTCTACCCATGACCAAACCATTAGTTAAGGAAAACAAAAAATAATTGGTATCACCTGCTGGAATAGTTCAGTAATCAGAAGCGTGTGGCTTAAAACTTTCCGTGTCTTCATTATCCGAACAATAGCAGCATCAACCTGCAACACAAGCATTATGCAAAGAATGACAACTTCAGTTTGACATTCTACGATGTGTCCATGAATATGGAAATATTCAAATTGAAGTTAAAACCTGATATTGACGGTCCTGGAACACTCTCTCAGTTGTGCTTGTGTTCTCTTCCACTGTTTCTTTCATCTGTATAGCATTTACCTGTACCCCACAGATCAAGTTAGCTTCAGGACTCTTATGTATGAGACAGAACCCAACTCCCCCACAAACCGTGCCATGAATCGAATTAAGTGGCTCAAAATCAGAAATGCAGTAAATAGATAGGAAAAAGAATTTTGGTTCTCTATGCATCACTTGTGACATTTGCCAGGCTCTTTTCACTTCTGATCATAGTTTTAAATTAAATAACGGTATCGATGATACGGAATCAGCCAATATCAAACTGTATTGACTGATATATTGGTAAATATCAGTGTTAGAAGTACAAAATCTCAAATATATTTTAGCCAATACAATGCGTATTGACCAATATCTAAAACCCTACTTTTGATATTGTTATTACGAAAAAAAGAAATAACCTTTATACGGTAGAGAGGAGCAGTAAATCCATCATTGAACACAAACGAATCATCGTCCTCCACTTCTTTCCCTTTGGGCGACTGCATAAAACAACTTTCTTAATAGGGAGAAAAACATAAAGAAAGAAAGCCCAAAATTTTGGAGCCATGTGAGAAGAAAAAATTTGTGTCCTCAATTGACACCTTCAGAAGGACGCGAACTTTTCCACATGCAAGGGACTGCAGAGTCCTCCTCAATTCCTTATCCTCAATGCCAGTAGAATCCTTAATATCTTGAAAGCTAAGATTTTGAGCATCGTTAAACAGCATCACAACAACAGTCTGTCGCACAACACAGACAATGCCCACGTAAATATTAGGATGTGTGCTCTTGCGCATGAGAAATCGACAAAATGAAACAGAAAAAAAATAAAAATAAAATAAAATAATCTATCATGTGCATAAAAGAGACCAACCTGAAATAGAGAAACTGCCAGCTCCTTTCTACCTTTCGGAAACTCGGCTTTTAACACACAGTGACCTAATGAGTTTTGCCACATTAATCGTCTCCCACTATACTTGCTCAAATAGAACTCCTTAAAAATGTCCTGTAGAACCAAGAAAAAGAAACGCGTCGGGCAATCATATAAACTGTATAGATGATGTCTAAAGGGAAATGCAGCTATTCTTCGATTTATGGCAAACCTGATACACATTGAGTTCGTGAGGAAGTCGAACATCCATTGGTGGATATGTGGGCCAGTACCTGAAAGCCAGCCAACCATATCCATACTTAGATTTCTTCCAAAACTTGGAGATGAGATGTTATAATCATGCAAGCTTGAAGAGAAAAACAAAATATATAGGATTGAAACCTACCCTGTTGTTAAAACATGAACACTCATCTCAATCCCTGATGGGAGTTTTGTCCTAGCTTGGGATGATTGCTTGAATGAATCATTTATTTCTTTCGACAATTCAATGTCCTGTAAAACAGTTATCAATTATTGTAGAAAAGATAATAATCCCTTTTTTTACGAATTTGCTATATAATTGTATCAGCGCTAGCCAAACTATGCTTCCATTAAACGGTAAAAGAAAAGAGACAGAGAGAGATCTTAAATGGTGATCTTTTACAAACTAGGTGGGTGTTTGGGAAGTTGCTATTTTAGTAGGCTAAATTTGTGTTTGGAAAGATAGTTGGATTTTTTTGTAATTCGATGTGATGTTTGTGAGAAAAAAAGTGAAATGATTATGAGTTTGATGTGACATTTTGTCTTATTGGCTATTTTAGCCTATTTTGTCTTTTTGTAAATTTTAGCCCAAAAAACCAAAAAAAAGCCTTTGCCAAACACCCCTCAAAGACTGAGCTGCACTAAGTATATATCTATACTAAATGCAAACATTCCTGCAGAAAATAAAGATACATTGCATTTACAATACTCAGAAACAATAAAACGAGTATGGATCTGCACATTTTGAAACACAAAGTATTGTAGAAATCAACTGAATGCCATTTCAACAACAATTAACTTGTCTCAAATGTACTAGCACCAGTTGTATGTTGAGAACTAAATTTTGGTATATCTAAGAGAGAAGGCAAGGCACTAATCATAAAGATACACACCTTGAACATTCCTTCAAGTTTATTGGTAAACTGGCTCCCACACTCGGTTTTCAACTGTAACATTGAGAAAAATTCTTAATATGATTAACAGATGAATATACTAGTAAAAAATACATGATTAACAGATGAATAATAATTGGCAAAATGGAGGGAAGGGGAGGGGGGGTGGAAGCATCCTTAACCTTAGAAATCATGGACTTCTCTGCATCAATGGAAGCGCTCTTTCCCAGCAACAGCCTTTTTGCAAGATCCTTCTTATAGAATGCTTCAAACACATCCTTACCCTAATTAACAGGAAATAAAAAAGAAATGGTGCTCATTATTTTTTCTTTTCCTCTTTGTGGGATGGAGAATAAGGTACAAACACATAACCCCACCATCTAATTTTTAGATACCATGCAACAACCCTTTTTGCTATTGTTCTACAATGGCATTGATCGGATCAACACTGCCAATCTAACATACAAGAGCATGACAAACACATCGAGGTTACCTGTATAAACCTGAACAAAACCAAGACTTTATCAAGTGTACCCTCCAATTCCTCTTCTGATGTACCCTTATTCCCAGCACGAAGCTTCTCATCCAAAAACTTTGCAATAAGCTCAGCAGGCCGATTCTATCACAAATCACAACAGTATAATCTTACTTTCCATATTGGCAGAATAATATCAAAAGTCAGAAGTGATGGTAAATTAACATTCTAATAATGAATGGTGAGAATATTGATTTAGATTTACAGAGAGGTCACATACAGAAGGTAGTACAGGTTGGTTATCCAGCATTAAGCCTTTTCAATCTTGTAAGTCCCCTAAAGCAATAATATTTTCTCAAGGGGCGGGGTGGTAGAAGAAGAGAAGAAAAAAGAAAAGACGACTTTGAAGCTATTTTACATGGACTCGGGTGCAAATGTCGTATGTGGATATGTGCTCAAGTGTCATATTCGTCTAATTCACATGTCTAGGGACACTAGAACATGGCCAGATTTCATATTTCTTAAACACTACTACCTCCATCCCAAATTGTTTGTCCCGCATGAAAAACAAGAACTTAAAAATAATGTATTTTTGTGCCCAAATTTTAAATTTTTTTTTTTTTCTCGCAAATTAAAAGTACTTAATGAGATCTTTTAGACTTGTAGTCAACAACATTTGGGTTGAAAAATCCAGAGGAATGGCAATGCAAGGGAAGGAACAATATTGTCTTCCCACCATCTTTCATCGAGTGTAAAGGAAAGAGATGTGTCACTTTCCATTGGTTATGCAATGAGAGAGAATGAGAAAGAGCTGTCTATGTTCAATCCACCATTATACTAATATATACAAATTAAAGTGCCAGTAGGGCTGTCAATGGATCAGAATCAATTGAATCCGGTAAGTCACGGATTCAACTCCAAATATAAACTACCAAGACCAAAGTTGATAAATGATATGACGAACCTTACATACTAAGCAGGTTGAAATCCAACAAAATTTCCCAATTCGATATGAATTCAAGACAAACACAAAAAATAAGGGTTCTAACTTATTAATTAATTAATTCTACATTTTTTCAATTCCAGCATCAGTTGTAGAGAAGTCGGATTTGTAAAGCAATTTTCTTTGGGGACATAATGTAAGGAGTTTAAAAGTATATCATCTAGCAGATTAAGATTTGATGAGCACTTACATGCAAGCAGGAGTGTTGGGAACCAGAAGGCCTGGATGTTTAATCAAGTGTTTTAAGAATGTTCACTGTGAGAAGGGTAAATTGTGCAGAAGGTTGTGAGATTGCAGCTGAGGATAACTTTCTACCGCATAAGTGTCAGGGATCATCTAGCAGATTAAGGGTTGGTTTGGGATGTTCTAAAAAAGTGCACTTTTTGACTTATTGGTTTATATGGGTTGGGTTTGGGTTGGGTTTGATGTGATGTGTTAGAGAGGTGATGTGATTTAAATAAGATGATGTGACTTAAATAGGATAGTGATTTTTTGGCTTTTTTAGGTTATGCCAAACCAAGCCTAAGATTTGATGAGCACTTACATGCAAGCAGGAGTGTTGGGAACCAGAAGGCCTGGATGTTTAATCAAGTGTTTTAAGAATGTTCACTGTGAGAAGGGTAAATTGTGCAGAAGGTTGTGAGATTGCAGCTGAGGATAACTTTCTACCGCATAAGTGTCAGGGACCATAAATTCTTCCATGGATAATTTTGTGAATTTTTCAGTAATCTATAGGGTTGACTTCTACAGGGTGCTAATTTGTTTTGAACATATTCCATCCCCTGTACATAGATTGCACCATCTCACCGCATTTTAACAAAATTTTAATTGTACAAAAATACATAAATATTATTCAATATTTGATAAAAATTTTGAATCATACATAGAATTAGGAAATGCATCTCAAATATATTATAGTGTTAAACTTAATCAAAGTCAGATAACATATTTCAAGTTAATCCAATTATAATCAGGTTTTTCCTAGTTGAAATCAGATTCAAACTGAACGATTCAAACATGTATGATACTTGAACTTTTATTTGGTCAAATTCAGGTGGGGCAAGATCTTGATCAGACCAGCTGAAATCACCAAATGACACCTATACATTAAAGAGAAGGGTCTTAATTGAAGAGAAGTAAAGCAAGAGAAAAAACCCTTCTTTACTTACTCTTTTCCACCACACCCATATTTGGTTTTCATGGGCTGGGAGGTTTACTCTACTTCAACTTCCCTATCTACCAAAGAAAGCAAAACGTGCCCCTTTACCCAAGGAGGTAAGCATAAAAAAATAATAGAGACCCCATTGTACAATTTCGTAGATAAGTTTTTTATTCTATTAGTTGACTATGGCTACAAAATAAAAACAAATATCTATATTGAAAAGAATTCTGTTAGTTAATTATGACTTTGAAATAAAAACAATATCTAAATTGAAAAGATCAAACAGACCTGTCGAAGATTAATGAGATGCTCAAACGCGTCTTTAATAGTGTTGCAAAATGCTTCATTCTTAGAAAAGCTTTCTTCCCATATGGTATCAAGAGAAGCCTTAAATTCTAAGAGGCAGGATACCATATCTTTGTCTTTCTCTTCATCCATGACAATGCCCTGCCCAGTTCTCCGGATGTACGAACTAAGGGCCTGCCTCAATGATTCAAGGGCATTGACCCTTACAAAAAGTAAGTACATCCTCTGCAGATCCTCAATACGATTCCCATCCATCAGCATCATGAAACCCTGGACAGATCAGGAAAACCATAAGCAACTAAAGCAATGGAAATTCTGGCATATGTAGAGCTGCTGACAAGCAATTGACTGAACAAAGAATTGGAAAGTGACAACTTAATTCACACCTTATCAAGTATTGCAGATATATGACGTTCAAGAAGTTGCCTTTCTGCAGTTGCCACCAGTGGTTTTCTTGTACTTGCATCTAGGTAGAGAACACATCTTTCATGTTCTTCATGCAACCTCATCTGCAAGTATAGTTTAACCTCAAATCTCCCAAAGATAACTCCAAATCATGAAATACAAAAATCAAATAACAAGCCAAATCAGCAATTTCCTTCAAATGGAAACTGTAAAATAGATTACACAGCAGAAACTAGAAATAAAATAATATTAAGATAAGAGATAAAGCAGACACAAATACTTTAGTACTTGAAAGAGAAGAAAAATTGAAAAGAACAAAGCAGACCTCCACGTGCTTCAAGTAGTCTGGAACATCAGATTGCTGCATGTATTTGACACCTTCTGCAGCATAAAATTCAGATGTACGATCGAGGAACGGCTTCTCAAAACTCTCTGAGTAAATCCCTAAAGCAGTGAACATCTTCAAAAGATGGTTAAGGAGAGTCCTATCAACTGCTTCACCTAATCTGAAAGATCAAAAGAAGAATGCTGCAGGTTATGAGATAAAATCTAATAAAGCTAATTCTAAAAAGGGATGCTTTTATGCTATGTTCTTAGAAATGGTGCATCAATGATGATAACTTTTTCTAGCAGCTATACTTTGCAAGTCATTACAACATCTTAATGCTATATTCAATAGAGGGAAAAGAAGGTAGGAGAAGAATTTTTTTTATATCTCTTGCTTTCTCTTGTTCAGTTGGCTTAGGAGTTAGGACAAGAGAAGAGAAACAAAACAAGGAAGAAAATCTTCAAATTTCCTTCTTTCTCACAAAAATCTTTCTTACATGTAGAGGTTTTTGTTGGTAAATTTAAAGTGAGGTAAAACAAAGTATGCTCAAGGCACAACAAACTGATATAGAGCACAGGAAAGAAACCAAAAACAATTTTCGAACTCCATATGGAGCATGCCTCAGATATTGTATAAATTCTAACCAACCTTATTCCTTCCCTTACCTTTGAGCTATTGATTTAACTCCAAATACCATAACAGTTGCCATCTAAGCTCTCTAATTAAACAAATTTGAAAAATTCAGCAACCTACAACTTTTTTTAGCAATCCAAATTCAAACTTTTCCCTCTAAATCCTATTTACCCCCTTTCTACATTACGAAAAACCTACTTATTTTTCTTTAACAAAACCCACCACAAATCCAATTTAGGCAGCTTAAACCTACATTTCTAAGATGTCCCGTACCAATAATTTTTTTCCCCCTTAACTTCCCTCTGCTTTCTTCCCAATTAAAAAAGAGAAAATGACTAATTTATTTTCTTGCCTCTTCACTTAATTTTTTTTCTTCTTTTATTTCTCTCCTACCAAACATAACATAAAGTAACTTATGTTTCTCTCAGATACTAATAGGTATTAAAAAGAACAGCAAGTTAAGGTTTTATTTATAAAAAAACATGTTTCCCAAGAACTGCGGATATTTAAAGAATAATATTTTATAACAATTCTGGAAATTTTGATTTATAAAATGCAACATCAAACAGCACTTGTTATAATATGTGTTGCATCTTTTATTTTAGTTAACCAACTACATGCAAATTTCTATATCAAACAACACCACCTTAAGTAATTCCAAAACAATAATCCAAAGAAGAAATGTAAAGATACACACACAAACACCCATATACATAACACCCCAATAAAAATGCACACCCCTAGCCTGCGAAATGTAAAGATACACACACAAACACCCATATACATAACACCCCAATAAAAATGCACACCCCTAGCCTGCTTGAATACAGAGAATTATAAAGCTAATGATACAGTGATCTGATAAAATTACCCTTGTCAATATTGCACACACAGACCTAGCCTACTTGAGTGCACAGACAATCTTACTGCTAATGGCATAATGTGATCTGATGATTCTGATTATACTAGCCTTGCTAATTTATTACTTGTTACTGCATTGTACTTCTACAGACTATAGTCTAAGCAACCATGTCGAAGCCTCTGAAGCAGCCAGGATTGCCATGTCAAACATTAAGCTGACCAACACAAGCACCATCATCATGTTTTGTGACGAAAATTAGCAGTTTTTGTTGAAGGATATATTAACTGTTATATTATAGGTGCTCAAGAGAGTAACCTTTCTGTCTGTATAACATATAACTTGGGCAAGAGTCAGCAATCCAAAAGGACAAAATAAATGAACAGAAGTTGCTTACATAAGTGTGCAGTGACAAGCATACATGAATCTAGTCATCCAAACAAGTGCAATTAATTGAAAGTTGAAGTTCAGACATCTTCAAAATTTACCTTTCACTCTCAATCATTTTTAGAAGGCCAAATACAGTTTTGTGCTCAACTTCTGCAGCTAGTGAAAGATGTTTACGGAAAAGCTGCAAACCCATGTCCCACAAAGAATGCACATTCGGTGTTTGTTTCACATATGTTCTATCAAGATACAAGGCTATACCACGAATCATCAGCATCTGGTCACAAAAGTCCTGCCAGCATTTCTCAACAAGGGTTAAGAAAACCACCAGATCTTCGCTTTGGCCAACCAAAGATTGTAGTACAGCAGATATGTGTGCTTCACATTCCTTTTCAATCCGTTGATAAAGACTTCCCCCCATCTTATGCAGGCAAAGGTCATTAACAGCCTAATGACAGCACAGTAAGTTGATTAGAGTAAAATTATATCCCTTAGGAACCACACATGCACCTTTTGATTAATTCATACTACAGGAAACTTTTGTATCCCTAATGAAGGAAAAATGATGTGGTTTAACCCACCTGATAAAGCTTCTCCAAGTCACAAGGATCTGGTCTCTTCAATAATATGGCACTTATAGCCGACTTCAGTGTTGCCCATGTATTTTCCTCAAAATTTGCTGGCAGAGTTGGTTTAGCTTCAAGGATACGAAAAGCAAATGTAAGGTAAATAATATCAGGTCCCTATCTTAACACGTACTGTAAGGTGGTAAAAAATTAAAATTAACAAAGAAAAAAATAAAATAACACTTTAAAGATTAATTTCTTTCGACAAAGTATTTCAACACAAGTCTAATGTCAGCAAAAAATCAGGTGTAAGGATTTTTTCCCCTGAAGTCTAATTGAAAAGACATGAAAACACAAAAACATTGAGGTCAAGAATTCCGTAAAGAATATCATTCTTTCACAAAATGTTTTCATGAACCCTTCACTACTGCTCAGTTCAATTTCAAGAAACATTTTTAACAACCACATGTTCAAGCATATAAAAAATGGTAGTAATAATTTTTTAAAGAATATAATCTAGTAAGATTCAATATGAAGACATGAACTATAAGGTATGTATAACAATTAACAGAAAATTACATCCAGAAACAGTTGCAGCATTTTAGGAATGAACATATGAATGAAAAAGGATACACAATTGAATGCAGTAATACAAAGCTTGTGAAAGTTGACCCGCTAATACAATTCTCTCACTCTCTCTCTCTCACACACATACACGCACGGACACATTTCCATCATTTCTTCCAGTGTCCATTTGGTAAGGTGGGAATGAAGGAAGAAGAGAAAGGACGCAAACGCCTTCTCTTGTTTGTTAGGAAGGAAAAGGGAAGGAGGAAACAGTGGGTTCAGTTCCTGTACACCATAGTCCCTCCCACAAATGAGTGGAAAGGCAGAGATGGGCTCTCTCCATTTTTTAATTTTTTGGCCTTTAAAAATTAAATTCCTGCAATATATATGTACACACTGATATAGTATTTGAAGAAAGGATACAGATACGACGTGATATGGCATACCAGAATACCAAATCCTAACAAAAAAAGAAAAGAAAAAGAAAAAAAAAAAGGACATAGCTATGTCAAGCAAAAGGGGACATTTATACATACATATGGTTGTAGGTTTTATTGTTTTATTAAGATTTAATAATAAAGAAATAAATAAGAATAATGCAGCTAGAACCTGCAGTCTTAGGGGCATTCCATTTGGGCATCTTGTTCTACCCAAAACAAGCTATTAATTTCAGAACAAAAAGACAATACATTTTCAAGGTGGTTAAAACCATCAAATACAAATTTGAAAAAAGCACATACACAAAACTAACAGAATTCTACATATCATCATCAAAAGCCACTCATCATTTGCCAGTTTGTAACAAGCTGAAATCGGGCAAATACTAGTAACAACTAAAACCACTTTAATTTGCACCTATTGAAGAGGAAGAACGAAAAAACAATTAATCTCCATTTACTGTGGTAATAAAACCCTAGTTTAATTCCATCTCACACTAGTGAGTCAATGGTGTCCAGAAGCACAATACCCATTACATGAGCATCCTCAACCTCCACAATTCTATACAATCCTAAAGCAATTCTAAGCATCAGTGCATTAAATTGAACAATAACTGTTCAGGCTACCACTCAATTTCAGCTTAAACCCAAAATAACAAATCAATCGAAGTTCAAAACCCAGTATTGTAACTAACTGAGCTACACAAAAACATAAACAATTAACAGATCGAAATTCAAACAATCAATGAAATGACGAATCTTTGAATAAATTAAAAGACCTAGAAATGAAAATATTCAGAGATTAGTCGAGACAGTGAAGGGGGGGGGGGGAATTGGGGGAGAAGATCAATAGGACCTTTGAGAAGCTTGATGACGAGCTTCTTCGTGGGTTGAGGAGGCGTCGCCTTCTTGCGAGACAAATTGGCGGTGACGCCGCCGCGTGCGGCGGCGTTGGGATCTTCGATCATGGGGGGAGAGTGGTGGTCCGCGGCGGCGTCGAGGTCGGTGTCGAAGTGGATGTGGCCGTTTTTGTGGTCGAGAGAACAAGCGACGGCCTGAGACTTGGCCTTTTTCATCGCCGGAAAAAGGGCTCCGCCGCCGGAACTGGTGGTGGTGGTGGTGGTGTTGTAGGCGGAGGAGCGCTTGTTGTTGGTGGTGGTGGTGGTGTTGTTGGGATGAGACATATAGAAAGCAATCAAGAGCTCATTGTTGTGGGAACAGAATCCCAAAACACGAATAAGAGAAATAGATACACAGAGAGGCTCTAGATGATGAGAGAGAAAGAGGACAGACAGCGATTTACATTTTTAATATATATTTTTTAATTTTGGATAAATTGTGCTGGGGCCTCCTCTGGAAATTAAGGTAAATACAATTGGCGCTATTGATTTTATATATATTACAACAACCCCCCTCTTATAGCATGACCCCTTCCCAAATTCTCTTCCTCTCGAACCCACCCTAACCCTCTTAATCCAACAGCAACAAACAGAGAGAGATAGAGAGAGAGTCATGAAAAGAATGAGGCAATGTTTGGATTGAGTGATTTTGAGAGAAATGAAAAGAAATGAAAAGATATATATTTCTTTTACTTGTTTGGATAACTTAAGTGGAGAGAAATGTGAAGAAATAAAAAGAAACGAAGAGAAACTCATTTCTCTTATAACTCTCTTTTTTAATCTTTCCAAAAGTGGAGAGATTGAGAGAAAAAATAAACCAATATTTTCATAATACTAATTTTGTCCTTGTAAAAATAAAAGAAATAAAATGATTGAAAATATAAAATGGTTATTTTGGTAATATAACATAAAATAATTTCTTTTCTTTTCTCTTATGAAATCTAACTAAACAAAAATGAGAGAAATCATAATCATTTCATTTATTTTCTTTTATTTCTTACTTATCTAAATAAGAAGGAAATAAATCACAATCATTTCATTTCTTTTCTTTTATTTTCTCTTATAACTTAAGTAATCCTTTCTTTTTCTTTTCTCTCTTAGGTTCCCAAACATAGTGTGAGAGAAGGGGAATTGGGGTTGCTGCTGCGTAGCCTGTGCAGCAGCAACTGTTGTGCGCCAAAATGGGCCCATTTTCGGGGCTTATTTTAATAATCCAAACCATTCACATTTTAGAATGTATCGGCCCCGTTTGGTAGAGCTGTGGGAAAGTGATTATAGTTTATACCTTAGCAGTTTATACCTTATAACTGTGAACATAAGCTGATTTTTGACTTATAAATTTAGCTTCTCCTCCTCCACTCAAAGAATAAGTTGATTTTTGACTTACAAAAAACTATAAGTTGGAAATAAGCTAAATTAAGCTAAAAACTGAAATAAGTTGGAAATAAGCCCTACCAAATAGGGCCATCAAGTAGAACACGTCTGCAAAAAATTAAGTTAATCAGATTTCGTTTACTTATTCATCCACTCACATTTATATTCATTTTAATACTTTAAATCACAATTATTATTTATTTTTGTAGATACAAATGTGAGCAGATGAATGGCTAAACGTTGTCCGATTAACTTAATTTTTTGCAAGTATGTTCTACTTAATGTATCCTAAAATGTGAACAGTTCGAATGATCAAAATAAGTCCCAAAATGGGCCCATTTCAACACATAACAACTGCTGCTATGCGGACTGCGCAACGGCAACCCCAATTCCTTATAAAGACAAGTCGAGAATTGAAAGAGATAAAGATAATTATGATGAGTTAAAATGTTGTCATTAAAGTAAGAAATGTTTGCGATATAGTGATTGAACGTGTAAGAATGGGTTAGGGCTTTGCGATAGGAGAGAGGTTTGCGACGAAAAATAAATAAATGAAAGAGTAGTAGTGAAAGACTAATCCAAACGACGAGAGTTGTCAAAGCATGAGTTTTTTTTTTTTTTGGTAAGTGTCGAAGCAAGAGGTAAGGTTTAACCTTTTTAGTAATTTGATATTGGGATAAACTGATATTTAAAATTAAAAAAAAAATTATTTTGAGTTATCTAACAAAATTTGTGGGGCTTCATTAATAACTTTAGCCTTTCCATTAATAATGAATGATATTTATGCAACATTTTCTTCATGCATACAAAATTAATTCTCTATTTATCAAATAATATGATCCAATGACACAGAAATGTTAATAGAGCCTCTAAGAGGCAACCCTTATTCTTTACATTTATAATTTGTGTTGGTTTGACTTACGGTGCACTACTATATAAAAGGGAAGTTTGAAATAAAAAATTAAAATAAAAGATAAGTGTCATTGTTGAAACTTGGAGGGAGGTCTTGGGAATTAGTGGAAACTTTGGAGGAGGTTAGGTGTAATTTTCCCAAGTAAAAAACAATGGAAAATATATTTGGACAAGGATCGGATCCATCAACTTGATTGATCCAGTAGCCACCAGAGATGTGGGCCTAATTATGATGTGGCCTAATATGGCTTGTGAATTGTTGACCCATATCTATATTCAAGTAGGATCCATCATATCTATGTGATAGTCAAATATTTTATTCGGGTCTGAGTTTTGGGCTTCAAGGATTCGGACTGGGCTACTTGTTTAAAGTGACATTGGCCTGGAGATTGGCCCAGAGGGGATTCGAACTCAGGACCTAGGGGCTTAAACCCCAGGCCCTTGCCAAGTTGCCACCCACCCCTGGGTTAAGTGTAATTTTCCCAAGTAAAAAACAATAGAAAATATATTTGGACAAGGATCGGATCCATCAACTTGATTGATCCAGTAGCCACCAGAGATGTGGGCCTAATTATGATGTGGCCTAATATGGCTTGTGAATTGTTGACCCATATCTATATTCAAGTAGGATCCATCATATCTATGTGATAGTCAAATATTTTATTCGGGTCTGAGTTTTGGGCTTCAAGGATTCGGACTGGGCTACTTGTTTAAAGTGACATTGGTTGGTAGTTTATTTATTTATTTGTAAGGATTTTTTTCCTGTCGAGACCATAATTGCGCTAATGCTATGATTGATACAATAGAAAACTAGAGAAAATATTTTCTCTGTAAAAAAGAAAATTTTAGTATGAACATATATTTTCAAGGCATATAAAAAATTGTTAGTTATTAGGGGTAGTGGTCAGAGTTTAGGGTAGTCAGTGGCTCAACGGTGGGATGAGAAGGGAGAAATGAATAAAAATTAATTTTGTCAAAAAACATTTTTCTTCTTTCCTCAAATTTTACAAAATTTTAGAAGTGTTGCCATTTTTTTGGAAGTAAAAATAGTTACTGAACGTTATTTTAATTTTTAATTTTCATATTTTTAATAAACATTGAAAAAAAAATACCAAACAGGCCTGGGCAGGCCAGTGTTATTTGACTGAAAGAGATCTTTCTGGATACCCAAGTTCTATCTGAGTCCGAGCTTATTGGGCCTACTGAACCCATTATTTTTGGCCCACATAGCTGTATTTCTCATCCCATTAATGGGCCTTGTCCATTCACAACTACTACAACTAAAGTCAGTGGGTCCAATATTTTTCTTTCAGAATAATTCCATACATACCATAACAATATTACTAAAAGTACCAAGGATTTACTACACTTTCTATCATTAATTTATCGCCAAATTATTTCTTTAGTAATTGAACTATCAATTGGGTCTATGATGGTTCGTTACACACACCAAAATTAAATACTAAACTATACCCAATTCTTTTAGAATAATAACAAGTCCAGGTATCGATTCACAGGGACAATTGTGAAATTAAACTAATTTAATTGCTAAATTCCTACATTAATTTTGATTAAGAAGATTAATGGATATTATGACTAAACAAGAATTAAACGAAATTTGAATAATTAAATTGAAAATTAAAATTGGGTTTGAAATATAAATTTTTGGGAAAAATCTGAGGGCACAAAATTCACCACTAACCGCATAAATGAGATTTAACATTGGCCAATAATTGCAATCCGGTTTGAAATACTCAATATTTTACAACTACAAGTTTAAAATATTGATCAAGAGGGTTGTTGCATTCAACGTACATGCACGAACCATCCCGAGTAACACGAGGCGTTTGCTCTAAACTATGGTAGCAACGCGACCCGTCTCTCGTTGCATGACTCGTCTCGTACTTTGAAGACAAACACAAAGAAAACTAATGTATGGAAAGCATTAATCAATCATAGAGAGTAAAACACTTGAAGAGATGAAAAGAATAATTATTATAAACTTCTAAAACATCCATGCATTGGTTCAAATCGAATCACTATCAAAACTTATGAAAAATCCTATTACATGGCTAGGGTTTCATCAAAATCCTAGAAAAGAATAACCTAGCCACTCATGGAGGAGTGGGAAGAGGTGGAAAAGATGGGAGAGATGGAAGCCCTTATGGAATTTAGATTGAAAGCTTGAGAATCCTCATTTTCCTCTAAACCCTAGCCTCTCTCTTCTTGGAATCAATTTTAGAACCCTAATCCAACCTCTTTCTTGCCTATTTATACTTTTACTGTCTTTCAAACAGGTTTAAAACATCGGAACCGTTTTTCGAGAAAAGTCAACGCACGTGCGGGAAGCTCTTTTCTCTCCAAATTGTGTATTTTTGCCCATTTTATGCTCTGACTATGTACAACTTGATTGACATTAAACAGACATAAAATATATAATATGACAAGCAAGCAAAGTTAAGAGATCCTTATTAATAGTCTCAATGTTGCACAATTCGGCCTTAATCACATCCCTCAAATTATAACTTGCTAGTCCTCAAGCAAGCAATAAAAATAAAATAAAATGAAACAAAATCTTGCTATTTATCTCTTCGTGTGAAAACGGTTGCATTTAGCATATGCAATAAGCCTTTAAATCACAAAGTTATCTCAAGTGGACGAGTAAAGTCTTGTGAGGGTTTCCAAAAATAATGATATCCACAAACATTAACATATTCATATATGCTCAACAACAATTAACTACACTACTCCACCTAACAATCAACTTATGCGCCATTACAGTGTGATATTGTGACATAATGAGTCATTGAAGGCACGATGGACAAGCATGAAGTAATCTATTGAGTTAAAACCATAATTCAGTTAATACAAAAGTAAAGTCCCTTGTACTTGTGCATGCTAGTAGACACATCATTAGTACCATTGATGTAAAGTGCAATCTCCATATTAGTTAACTGTCCACTATAATAGCCCAGTGTAACTCATAATAACACCCAACATATACCAAAAAACTAAACTGTTACAGCCAAGATTCTCAAAAGTTTTTTTTTTTTAGATGATCGTGCAATGTCCTGATCCATTAAGCTTTCTAATCAACCTATGTAAC